CAGCTTCAGACTCACCATTCTCCTAGTCCATCGGAGTGACAACTCCACCCTTAGAAATACCAGAGGCCATGACTCCACCCTTTGAAACCATTGAGGTTGTGGCCATACCTTTTGAGACTGAGGCAGCTCGGCTTCTTGTGGTCCTTGTCTCTTCAACTTCTGCTTCCTATGGCCTCTCAGCCCTCGGGCCTCAAGCCCGCATGTGCCCTGCTGGGGCAAGTGTTCCAAAACTCAGTAGCTCCACTGATAAGTACCTGGAGGCACCCCATTCCACCAGCAAGCCTCTGGCACACAGGCACTCAGCTCTGTGGCTCCATAGGTCAGCAAGCCTAACTCCACTGGTAAGTGCCTGGAGGCACCCCAATCCACCAGGAAGCCTCTGGCGCACAGGTACTCAGCTCTCTTTCTCTGTAGGTCGGCTCCAGTGCCATCTCACGCTGGTTCTTCTGGTTCTGCTGCTGCTGGTTCTCTGCCGCTGCCCCTTCCTGCTGCTGCCACTTCTCTGCTGCTGCTGCCAGACCTCTGCCTCTGCCGCTTCTCTATCCGTTCACAGTTTCAAAACCGCCTCCAGATTTTAGGTATCTGTTAGAGCAGCACCCCACTCCCGGTACCAAATTCTGTCTCATTCCTCTAGTGCTGCTGTAACAGAAGTACCACAAGTGGATGGCCTCAACAAAGAAAAGTTTATTCTCTCACAGTCCAGTAGGCTACAAGTCCAAATTCAGGGCATCAGCTCCAGGGGGACACTTTCTCCATTGACTCTGGAAGAAGGTCCGTGTCATCAACCTTCCTTTGGTCTGGGAGCTTCTCTGTGCAGGAACCTCAGGTCCAAAGATGTGCTCTGCTCCTGGCACTGCTTTCTTGGTGGTATGAGGCTCCCATGTGTCTCTACTCGCTTCTCTCTTTTATATCTCAAAAGAGATTGGATTAAGACACTATCTAATCCTGTAAACCTCATCAGCATAACCTCATCATAGTGATACAGTTTACAACAAATAAGGAGATCACATATAACCTCATCATAGTGATAGAGTTTACAACACATACGGAAATCACATTAGATTACACAGTCATACAATACTGGGAATCATGACCTAGCCAAGCTGACAGATATTTTTGGGAGTCACAATTCAATCCATGACAAATATTATCCTATTATAGACTGTGTTGTACTTCAGGATAGGTCTTGAAATGTTCTTTTTGATGATAAATGCCAAATCCTTCCTCTTCAATTTGTCATTCTTGGCATAGCTGACCATACGATTGTCCGATTAAAAATGGCCAATACCCAGTCCATTTCAGCTCACTAATATTTAGGATATTGATCTTTATGTGGTCCATTTCATTTTTGATGACTTCCAATTTTCCTAGATTCATACTTCATATGTTCCATGTTCCGATTATTAATGGATGTTTGCAGCTGTTTGTTCTCATTTTGAAGCAGGTGTGCCACCTCAGTAAATGAAGGTCCTGAAAGCTCTACTCTATCCAAAGGTCAACTTTACTTTGAGGAGGCAGCTCTTCCCTATTTGTATTTTGAGTGCCTTCCAACCCGAGGGGGCTCTTCTTGCGGCACTATACCAGATAATGTTCCACTGCTATTCATAAGATTTTCATTGGCCAATTTTTTCAGAAGTAGACCACCAGGTCCTTCTTCCTAGTCTATCTTAGTCTAGAAGATCCACTGAAACATACCCACCATGGATGACCCTGAGATATCAGTGGCATAGCTGCCAGCATCACAACAACAAGCAAGCCACCACAGTACGACAAACTGACAGACAAGTTGGGGAGACTTTATTAGATTCAGATTAAACATTTTTGTCAAGAAAATTTCATAAAGTTGCTGGAGCACTGGTGGCGCAGTGGTTTAACATTTGGCTGCTATCCAAAACGTTGGCAGTTTGAATCCACCAGCCACTCCTTGGAAACCCTATGGGGCAGTTCTACTCTGGATGAGTTGGAATCAACTGGATGGCAACAGGTTTTGGATTTGACTTGATGGCTGTGGTTTTAGGTAGCTTGTATTGACAGATGGTCCTACCATTAGTGATGTTAGATTTCAGTTCTTGGTTAAGCAGGTGGTATCCGGTTTTCTTTGTAATCATATATTTTCTCTTTTGCAATCAGCTAATAATATGTTGGTTGATAATTTCATATCAAAAAATCATATTCCCTAACAAATTTATGCTTAATGGTTCAGTATCTATTGATGATTTTTGCCCCAATCAGTTACTTTGATGGGATTTGTAAATTATTATTTTCTATTTTTCTCATTCTTCACACTTTTTTTTTTTTTTTATATTTTATTGTACTTCAGGTGAAGGCTTACAGAACAAATAGTTTCTCATGAAACAGTAGTACACATGTTGTTTTATGACATTGGTTAACAACCC